AGTTCTGCAGATAGGCCATAATCTCACAGGAAGAGCCTTCCCCCTCCTTGTGATCAGTCACTTTGTTAGGACTGATGGTGGCCATATGGTATTTCAAATACTAATAGGAAACAAATGAGTCAATTTCTGAACACGAAAAGGCAACTGTGATAAAAAGAATAATGAAAGGGAGGAAACATTTCAATATGCTCAGATATGACATGATGATACTGTCACAGGCCTTAGCATCTTCTTTATCTGCTAAGTAAATTAAGCCACCAACAGGAAAAGGTCACCTCATAGAGAATGCTAGGACATATTTTAAGTCGCTAGATTCCTTTCCATCTTCGCCTTCTCAGCTCTTGAAACTGCTGTCAAAATTCTATACACTGGCAAAGAAAAAAGGGGTGAAAGTTGAGGGATTTTACAGAGAAAAGTATGAAATTTGTTGTGATTATTAGAACTAACATATCTATATAGCCATTCACATTATCTTGAGTGCCTAAAACACATAGTCTGTCCTTAACAAATGCCCATGTGAGCTCCCAAATAATCATTACAATGGCTGAATAATCTTGCATGTTAGGACAGCAACTTTCTCTGCCATCTCCACCCACTCTAAGAAGAGACCCCCCCCCCAATTCATTTCATAAAGTATTAAGGGGACATTGTTTTTCCCTTATAATGACTTTAAATTTAGAGTCAAAGAACAATTATCAACAACTAGGATTCTCAGACTTGCTGTGAGTCTACACTTCTCCTATCAGTCATGTCCACAGACTCAATATGGGAACATTCATCTAGAACAGATAAGCAAGGGCAAAGCTATTGATTGGGAAGGCTGCAAGAGTGAGTACTAAGGAGCTCTTGTGCAAACCACAGGCTTTCCCATGTTGAACTGAAGGTCACAGACATCCTCTAAGGTAGCAGGGTCTCATATGCACTGGATTTCTGTGTGTATGGATTCTAGGGCTTGAACTCAGGGCCTTGAGCTTCTTTTGCTCAAAGAGAGTGCTCTACCACTCACGCCACATATCCACTTCCATTTTTTTGATAGTTTATTGGAGATAAAGAGTCTCACACTTCCTACCTAAGCTGGCTTCAAACCATGATACTTAGATCTCAGCTTCCTGAATAGCTAGGATTATAGGCATTAGCCACCAGTGCCTGGCTGGCTGGATTTTTTTTTAAACTTTAAACATATAATAAATATGAAAACACCACTTTAAAGTATACTTGTCAGTGGTTTTCAGTATTTTTACCATAATGTGATCTTATCTTTGCTGTCCAATTCCAGAACATTTTTCTTTTTTTTTTTTTTTTTGTCGGTCGTGGGGCTTGAACTCTGGGCCTGGGCGCTGTCCCTCAGCTCTTCAGCTCAAGGCGAGCGCTCTACCACTTGAGCTACAGCGCCACTTCCGGTTTTCTGGTGGTTTATTGGAGATAGGAGTCTCACGGTCTCTCCTGCCCGGGCTGGCTTTGAACCGCGATCCTCAAATCTCAGCCTCCTGAGTAGCTAGGATTACAGGCGTGAGCCACCAGCGCCCGGCTCCAGAACATTTTTCTACTGCCCCAAAATAAATCCCATGCTTATCATGTGCACTTGTTCTTCAGAGATATCTCTGCTGCCCAGGCAGGTCTTTTAAGATGACTGGAGAGGGCAGATCTACAGAGGTAGATCTATAGAGTGTCTTTATGGTAAGAAACAGGAAAGCATTTTTAGCAAGTAGGCTAATATTATTTTATATTTTGGCTAAAAAACTTACTTTCAGTATCCATCTTCACATAACATATTAGTATGCCTCAAATTCATCCAAGATGTTAAAAGAAGGGAAGACAATCTACTACGATTAGCCATAACTGTCCATAGCTGTAATTTCAAAACACAGAAGATGCACATGGAGAGTAGAAAAACCTCCTTTAGTATCAAGCAAAGATGGATTAAAAAAACAACGACAAAACAGAAGATGTAATCATTAAGCAAACATTGTCCAAAGTATCAGTAGACCTGTCTACTATTTAAAGTAAGCTCTCAATGCAGCCTGGCTATCATCACACATCTGATCTAGAGTCTCTCCTAAAGAAAAAAAGGTCTAGCAAGAAAGCCTGCAGATGTGTGCTGCTATGGGGCTCTAATGACCTATGTGCTCAGGGCTTCTACAACACACAGGAAGGAGACCTCACCTTCAGGCAGCAGGGTGCTGGAAGCGGGAAGTAGTAGGTCCACGAGGGTGTCTTGCCTTTGTGCACTTATCTGGGGTGCTATTTCCAGAGGAGCTCCTGTACAGAGTGTGCCCAAGATGGATTTCTAAGTTGCTCTCAGAGTTGTCCAGCTGCCCTCACCAATAAGTCACAGTCTTTGTAGGATGATAGAAACCACCAGTCAAAGCAGATGCATATGGGCTGTGGGGAAGCCTTCTTTAGTATCTAACATAGCTGGATTAAAACAAAAAAACTTAACCATTAACCAAATCTTTAACCATTAATTTAGATTATACCAAACATCAACTAGGAATTAAACTTAAAAGTCTACCCTCCTCATGGACACAGATTAACGGAGGGTTTTATGAGCTTGAAAGCTACAAAGACTCATTTTTGCCCTTCAAGAAAATTAGTTCTATTTGATAAAAATTAGTAACAAAGATCCAGAAAGGATTATTGGTAATTTAACTCATTCTCTCTAGGCTGTTAAGTAATGTTTCCAGTGACTTCTGTTGTTCAACAAGTTGTATTCTAATAACATACTTACAAATGTATTGCAATTTGCAATAATGACTTAAATACATGTTTACTTCCTGGATTTTCCAAAATACAACAGATGCAATCAAGTGAAGTTCATGACATTTATATAACATATAAACTAACAAAATTACCTCAAAATAACTATCTACTGGAACACTACTATATTACCTTTGCTAAATAATGCCTAGGGAACAGTCCTAAATTAAGATGCCTAGGGCTGGGTATCAGCTCCAGTTGTAAAGCACCTGCCTAGCAAGCAGAAGACCCTGAATTTAAGCCCTAGTACTGCCAACATGAAAAAGAAAAATATGCCAAGATACATAAGGGTACAAAGCATTTATCCTTTCTCCTGTGAGGAAGCATCCAGCACTTAACTCGGTGTCAGTGGCCCACGCCTATAATCCCAGCTACTTAGGAGGCTGAGATCTGAGAATCCTGGTTCAAAGCCACTCTTGGCAGACAAATCTATGACTCCAATGAACCACCAAAAAGAAAGAAGTGGTAGAGTGCCAGTCTTAGGTGAAGAAGCTATGTGAGAATGTGAGGGCTTGCGTTCAAGCCCAAGAACCAGAAAAAAAGAAGTCTGGTCATTTATCACAAAAAAAGCTGGAAATAGAACCCTAGCTCAAGTGGTTAAGTGTTAGCCTTGAGCAAAAAAGCTGAGACACAGAACCTAGACTATGTTCAAGTCCCAGGACTGGAACAAAAAAAGAAAAGAAAAGAAAAGAAAGAAAGGAAGAAGGAAGGGAGGAGGAAGAAGAGGGAGGAAGGAAAAAGATCCTAGTGGCCAGAAAATCCAACAAATTTTCATTAAACTAGAAATACAATTCCTTTTCTTTTGAGGATATTAAAAAAAAAATGTAGTAGGCTGAGATCTGAGGATCACAGTTCAAAGCCCGCTGGGCAGCAAAGTATGTGAAACCAAAATTTACCACCCAAAAAGCTGGGAAGTAGAGCTGTGGCTCAAGTGGTAGAGCACTACCCTTAAGAACAAAAGCTTAGGGAGAGTGCTCAGGCCTTGAGTTCAAGCCCCAGAACTGGCATTTAAAAAAAAAAGGATGGTAGGGGAAAAACAAAGGAGGAGGTAACAAGGCTCGATAAGAAATGTACTCATTACTTTACTCATGTAACTGTAACCCCTCTGTACACTATTTTTACAATAAAAAGCATAAAAGAGAATTAACTGCAACAGGAGTTCAATGAGTCCAAAGTGTATTTGTTTTTGAGGCATACTTCTTAGAAAGTCAATATAGTGAAAGAAACCTCAATATTTTAGAAGGTAGTCTCGATGTACTTTTTCCGTATTTTTAAAGACAAGGTCTAGCACTATAGGCCAGCCTGGCCTCTAACCTAACAGATGGCCCTGCCATGCTGAGAGAATACAGGTATATGCCACCATGCCTAGCTCAAGTACTTTTTTTCCCCCCTGTGGAGACAAGTTCTCATTATGCAACCTAGGCTCTCCTGGAACTCACTACAGGAGAACACAGGCTGATCTCAAACTGTTAATCCTCCTGGCTCCGCCTCCCAAGCTCTGAAGTTACACGAATGCACTCGTGTGCCCAGCACTAGATTTTGTGTGTGTGCCAGTCCTGGGGCTTGAACTCAGGGCCTAGGTGCTATTCCTAAGATTTTTTTCCTCAAGGCTACAGTGTACTTTTAGAGCCACAGCTCCATTTCTGGCTTTTTGGTGGTTAACTGGAGATAACAGTCTCAAGGTCTTCCCTCCCTAGGCTGGCTCTGAACTGTGATCCTTGGACCTCAGTCTCGAGTGGCCACCAGAGGCCGGTGCAGGAGCCACGAGCCACTGGCACCGTTCTCACAACTAGGTATTTTAAGGATATATTTGTTATGCCATAAAAAGCCCAAAGTTAGCTATACTTTTTGGTATGTTCTAGGATGTAACTAACTTCCCATTCATAAATCTGCTTTATAAAACCCTTCTATATAAAAGGTGGACTTGGTATGAACAAGGCTGGTTTGAAGTTAAGTTTCTGTCAAATAAAGAAATTACTAGTAAAAGGAGGTCATATGGTTCTTCGACTGGATTCTTCTACCGGAAGAATACTAACACACATACATTGTCATTTTACTGAGTGTTAACCAAATACTTGAAACTACAAAACAAAACACACACAAAAAAACCTGCTGATATAAAGGGAGAAAGAACTGAAGGGATGACAAAGGAAGCCAATCTGATCAAGTGCTTTGTAGGCATGTGTGAACATATAAAATGAAACCTCTCACACAACTAATTAGTGGTTACAAATAACGTGAAGTTAAAAACCATGTTATAACTGTTCTCAATAAGGATTGGATTTCTCAAGTCCAGCACAGATATCTGCCACAGACATTTGCTGGATTATTTTAATTTCCCTTAATGCAAGATTATTAGCCAGTTTAGGGGAAAAACCTTAAAACTACGCTATAGACAATCCTCAGGGTTTAAGAAAAGGAAAACTTGGGCTTGGGGCCTGGCCCAAGTGGTAAAGGACCTCCCTAGCAAGCACAAGGCCCTGAGTTCAAACCCTACAATGAATAAAAGGGCTTCAACTGCAGCACAAGAATCAAGAGCAAGACACGCTAAGGAACAAATTTTACTTTTTGTGGATTCAACTCTTTGTCAAGATTGCCATTATGATGAGTGAGACTCAATTTTAGAACAAGCTTCTCAGGATTATTGTTATCACATAATTTCAAATATCAGGTATAAAAATACACCAACTTGTGAGAGGCTTATCCCCAATTAACCAGTAAAAAGCCCAAAGTGGAAGTGTGGCTCAAGTTGTTCAGCACCAGCTTTGAGTGAAAAAGCCAAGCAAAAGCTTAAGGCCCCATGTTCAAACCTCAATGGCAACAAAAGAAAAATATACAACAACAACAAAAAATCCAGCCAGGCCAGCACCGGTGGCTCACGCCTGTAATCCTAACTACTATGGAGGCTGAGATCTGAGGATAGCAGTTCAAAGCCAGACGGGCAGTAAAGTCCTTGAAACTCTCATCTCCAATAAACCACTCAGAAAGCAAGAAGTGGCGCTGTGGCTCAAGTGGTTGAGTGCTAGCCTTGAGCTAAAAAGCTGAGGGACAGCGCCCAGGCCCAGAGTTCAAGCCCCACCAAGACCCACACCAAAAAAAAAATAATCATCATCATCATCCAGTCAGGTGGCCGTGGCTCATGCCTATCATTCTAGCTACTCAGGAGAATGAGATCTGAGGACAGCAGTTCAAACCAGTCCAGGCAGAAAAGTCCGTGAGACTCACCTCCAATTAACCACCAGAAAACACGAAGTGGCACTGGGGTTCAAAGTGGTAGAGTACTAACCTTGAGCAAAAGAGCTCAGGGATAGCCCTCATGCCCTGAGTTTAAGCCCCACAATCAGAAAAAAAAAAAAAAGTCCACCAGCTTGGGCTTGGTGGCATGAGCAAGGCTGAGTTCGAACACTCCCACATCAACAAACAAATTTAGGAGCTAGGGATGTACTTCAGTGCTTGCCTTTAGTTTGCTCAAAGCCAGGTGTGTTGGGTGTGGTGACTCACGCCTACAATCCTAGCTACTATGGAGGCTGAGATCTGAGGATCAAGGTTCAAAGCCAGCCCGGGCAGGAAAGTAGTCCATGAAATTCTTATCTCCAATTAACCACCAGAAAATTGGAGGCAATGCTGTGGCTAAGTAGCAGAGCGTTCTTCTTGAGCTGAAGAGCTGAGGGACAGCGCCCAGGCCCTGAGCTCAAGACGCACAACCAGGGGGAAAAATGGCACTGGTGCTCTTGTTTATAATTCTAGCTACTCAGGAGGTTGAGACCTGAGGACTGCAGTTCAGAGCCAGCCTGGGCAAGAAAGTCTGTGAGACTTTTAGCTCCAATTAACCACAAGAAAACTGTAAGTGGCAATTTGGCTCAAAGTGGTAGAGTGCTAGGCTTAAGAGAAAAAGCTCACGGAGAGCCCAAGCCCCAAGTTCAAGCCCCATGACTGACAAAAAGAAATAAGCACTAGCCTATAATCCCAGCTACTCCAGAGGTTAAGATCTGTTGGCAGTGGTTGGAAAACAGCTTAGGAAGGAAAGTCCATGAGACATCTCCAATTTACCACCAAAAAGGTAGAAGCTGTGGCTCAAGTGGTAGAGTGTTAGCCTCTGAGGAAAAAAAAAAACAAAAAACAAAAGCCTAAAAGACAGTGCCCTGAGTTCAAGGACCAACAAAAGTGGCCATGTGGCTAGGCACCCATGGCTCCCACCTGTAATCCTAGCTATTCAGGAGCCTGAGATCTGAGGATCATGGTTCAAACCAGCCCTGCAGAAACATCTGTGAGACTTTTATCGCCAATGAACCATTCAAAATCCGGAAGTAGAGTTGTAGCTCTACATAGTAGAGCGCTAGCCTTGAGCAAAAGAGCTCAGGGACAGTGCCCAGGCCCTGAGTTCAAGCCCCACAACCAACAAAAACAAACACCCCCCCCAAAAAAAAAAAACAAACACTCTGGCCATGTAAGTTAACTTAAGTCAGTCTGCAGAAACTTAAATGACATCAGCCAACACTAGAGAATTCCACGAAGAAAAATACACTTCTGATAATCCATGTTCCTTCAGCCTGTTTCCCAATGAGTCCATTGTGACAAGCAAGACCCCCCTCCTACTTTTTCTCTCTACTCCCAACAGATGCTTTCTGCTCTTGGATCACGACTGGCGGGTTGTCCATCCCCTGGGGTTCCAAAGCCTCCAGCAGTTTGGGGGGGGGGGGGCGGTCCTGTTAAATACACTTAGGACTCAGGAGGAGCCCAGGGGCATGGAGGCCTAACGATCTTAGTCCTCTCTCTCTCTCTCTGTCCTAATAGCACCTAGCTGTAAGTAGTGCTTGGTGCACACTTGAAAGGAAATGAAAACACGTGGACAGATGCAGCTCTAGCTCCAGGGTTCTTCCACCCTGGCTAGTCTTCCTTTGGCATCAGTATTTGGTGCTGCCTCTGTAGATGGCCACATTTTGGGTGGGCCTGCGACCATCCTCGGAGGCCGCCAACCTGGGAGTCGCTGGTGTGGGGCTGGATCAGTGCGGCCTGCAAAGGGATCGCCGTCTCGTCACCTTTAAGCCGACGGCTCGAGTTGGACTCAAGCTAGGGCTGGTCCTGCCGGGCAGCCCGCGAGCCCGTGGGACCCAGGAAGCGGCCCGGGCGCACGGCTCGGGGGCTCCGTCCCGCGGGCGGCTCGAGGGGCCGATCTCGGCGGCGCCCGCCTCGGTGGCGCCGTGGGCGTCTTATCGCCCGGATGGAGCCCGGCTCTGGGGTTTTGTGGTCTGCTGAGCAGTTCAGACGTCGAAGGCCCGGCCTGAGAAGTGTGCGTCCGCATCCCCAGTTCCCGCCTTCCCCACTCGGCGGCCGGGACCGAGTTCTCCACCCCACCCGCCCCGACCAGAGGTTGGTGGCAGTTGGAAGCGGCTGGGACCGGCCCCAGCAGGTTGGAACCGGTCTGGGCCGGGCCGGAGGAGGAAAGGGGGAGGGGGAGGGAGAGGCCGCCTCGCGCTCTCCCTGCGCGCGTGACTCACGCTGGCCGCTGACGTCAGGCGTGCGCGCGCGGCGGGGGGGGCTCTACGTACGTGTAGTGCTGCGGTTTCTCGGGCTGTGCCTGCAGCACCTGAGCGGTAGCGGCCGGGGGCGCGGAGGAAGCTGCGGAGCCGCCGGGCCCGGGGCCCTTCGACATGGTCCTGTCTTCCTGCCTCTTCGCCGCTCCCCTTTTATTATTCAGTCTGCGCGGTCCGCGCCGAGGACCCAGCGCGCCTGCGCCGCGCCACGAGAACGTGAAGACCTCCCGCACGGTAGCAAGGCTTCTTGGGTGTTGTAGTCCTCCATTCGGTCGAATTTTTACCGTCGGCTGAGGGTTGCTGCCAAAGCGCGGAACTACAATACCCAGGGGTCCTTGCAGACAGTGTCCCGGATGCTGAGGGGGCCGCGATGGCTTCTGGGAATTGTAGTGCCTCTGTTCTTAACATCCGGTTTTCTGTTTCGCTGGGGGCTGCCTGCCTTGAAACTGGAACCACTGGAGAACGAGGGGCCCAGAACTACTGAGATCCTGAGGACTCCTGCGAGACAGTGCCAAGTGTGTTTTCGCTACCAGCGGAACGATCGTCACAAGCTTGGGCATAGTTCTAATACCTGCTCAGAGCAGCTCCAATTACTGGCGGTTGTTAGCTCTGGACCTTGGGGCTGGGGGGCTGCTAGGCCTCTGGGGGGCCCCCAACATTCTCCTCAGCCCTGCGGCAGGGCTCACCGAACAGGCCTGAAGGAAAGCCTGCCTGCCTGCCCGAAGTCCGATTGAAAAGTTTTGCTAAAGAAGAGCTACGCTGCACCGCAGTGTTTCCCTCCCTTGCCTTGGCCCGGGCATGTCATTAACAATTACCAACCCTGAAACCTGGAGCCCCACCACTTCCGTCCCTAGTGAACTCAACACCTGGCCGGACCAACTTGTTTCCAGTACGTGAACGGCCAAGGACGAACTTAATCTCCATCTAGAATACTCCGAGGTACCCTGGCAAATTACTAGGGTGTGGAGAAGCATCGTGGTAGAGTGCCCAGGAAGGCCAGGCTTGAGGAGGAGGGCCTTTTTAAAGTTGGGAAAGTATTTTCTCTATCCCGCCTTCCACCAGCCAAGCAGTTTTTGTTTGTTTTGTTTTGTTCGCAAAGTAAGCCAATTTTCCCAGGGGTAGGCATTTGATTCCTGAGCCTAGTAGCTTTCAAATGAATTCCTGGCATTGGGAAAGTTCAGCAGCATTGCAAGTTGGAAGCCAGCCTGAGGTACTTAGTTCAAAGCTTGGAAGATCCTGTTTCAAATAACAACACACACATAACAACAAAAATGATCTTCGTAGGTATTTTAAGACGTGTGGTTTGACTTTGCTTTCTATATTGAATATTTCAAATGGATTGTTCAGACTGGTTTATTAGATGAAAGTATTGTATTAGATGAAATTAGGGAGGATGGAGTGAATGGGAAGTTAATTTTTAAGTTTCCAGTAACTTGTCACATTGGGAAGCCAAATTGTCAGCTTGCAATGTTGAGAAACTAGTATTTCCTAATCATGCCAAATCAATTGTTTAGCAACTAGGGCCTCTTAAAGATGCAAAATTCCAAAATGATAAGTTGAAGCTCTAGTGTGTTACTTTAATCCTATATCTAAATTCAAGTGATTGGTTTATGTGTTATTCCTGAATTACCGAAGTATGCAGAAATACAGTTCACAGCACTGGGTTCCACACGAAACTTGTAATGGTGAAATTAGGAGATGATAAGATGTTTAATTTACAGAAGAAACAAAACTCTCAGGGAAAACAAGTAATTTTCACAAAGTTCCTCAGCAAATTGATAACAGAACAGAAAGTAGGAGAATAACCTATGCTGTGTCATATTTACTATGCTGTGCTTTGTGTAGTGTTAGGGATCGAACCCAGGGCCTCACCTCAGACAAACATTCTACCGCTCAACCCTGGCATATTTGCTTGCTTTTTTTTTTTTTTTCTTCTACTTGTATTGGTACTGGGGCTTTGAACTTGGGGCCTGAGGTTGTCCCTTAGCTTTTTTGTTCAAAGCTGGTGCTCTACCAGTTGAGCCACATTGGTGTTTAATTGGAGGAAAAAAATCTCAAAAGACTTTCCTGCTCCAGCTGGCTTCAAACTGTGATCCTCAGATCTCAGCCTCCTGAGTAATTAGAATACAGGTGTGAGCCACCATGCCCTTCTTGCTTTTTTTTTTTTTGGTCGGTCATGGGGCTTGAACTCTGGGGTTGGGCGCTATCCCTGCGCTCTTCAGCTCAAGGCGAGCACTCTAACACTTGAGCAGCACCACTTCCAGTTTTCTGGTGGTTAATTGGAGATAAGAGTCTCAAGGAGTTTTCTGCCCGGGCTGGCTTTGAACTGTGATCCTCAGATCTCAGCCTCCTGAGTAGCTAGGATGACAGGCATGAGCCACCAGTGCCCGGCTGCCCTGCTTGCTTTTTTGCCTGGCTTGCTTTTGTTTTGATTGTACTTACTAGGAAAAGGAAAACCCTTACAAGACTACCAAATAAGGAGACAAGTTGTTTCCACTAATCATCTTTAAATGGATAAATACAAATCTGTACCTTGTTTCTCCTACAGCAAGTTTTAGTTTCTCTTTAATAATTAGGAAAACTGGGCAGGAAGTGGAGTTGTACTTCCTTTGGAAGCATGGAAATGACAGGTCACTGGATATCCTAGAAAAACTTAAAAACACAAGAAATACAAAAAGGATACGTGTAGTTAGTTTAGGTGCCTGTACTTCCAAAGAGCAATCCAAAATAGAAGGGGGGGGAGGGAGGGAGGAAGGGGGATCGAGGGAAGGAGGAGAGAGGGAGGGAAGGGAAGAAAGAAAGAAACCAACCCTGGCTGCTTCCCAGAACATTTGATACCTATGTGGGTTTAAATAGTTCCATTTGGGGCTGGGAAGGTGGCTCAGTGGTAGAGTGCATGCCTCACATGCGTGAGGACCTGGGTTTCATTCTACAGCACCACATTAAAAGCTAGAAGTGGTGCTGTGGCTCAGGTGGTAGAGTCCTAGCCTTGAGGTGAAGAGCCAAAGGACAGCAATCAGGCCCAGAGTTCAAGCCCCACGACCACCACAACAATAAAAGTTCCATTTCTTAGCTTTTCATGATTTTTTTTTCTTTTTGGCCAATCCTAGGGCTTGAACTTGGGACCTGAGCACTGTCCCTGAGCTTCTTTTGCTGAAGCCTAGCACTCTACCATTTCAGCCATTTGGCTCTTTCTGCTTATGTGGTACTGAGGAATGGAACCCCGGGGCTTCACGCTATGTAATCATTCTACCACTAAGCCACATTCCCAGCCAACTTTTTGTAGATTTTGCATACTTAGCAAGAGCCTCCATCTTGGTTTATCTTCTTGGTTACAGTGTGAATTAAACTGTGATTTTTGTCCCTACTCCAAATTTTGAGAAGGCAGAAATTAAAGTTGATTAGATTATCAGCTGAGAGGTTGGGTGTAGGTCTGTGGTGGAACACTTAATTAGCACATAAAGGTTCTCGATTTGATTCTCCAGGACCACAAACAAACAAAAATAAATAAGCCAATTGCTGGAGACTCCCGTATGTAATCCTGGTTACCCAAGTCATTCTTTTCCCCTGAATACTTGCAGACATTAGTAGGAGGTGATGGGTTATACCTGTAATCCCAGCATTGAGGAGACTGAGGCAGAAAAATAGACCAGCTTGTTTCACTTTTCTGGGATTTGTTTAGCTTGTCTTAATCTTAAGCTTTTTATTTTACTTTATTTTTTTATTTGGCTCAGCACTTGAACTCAAAGCCTGAGCACTATCCCTGAGCCTGTTTGTGCTCAAGGCTAGTTCTCTACCACTTGAGACAAAGCACCACTTCCAGCTTTTTCTGAGTAGTTTATTGGAGATAAGAATTTAACATGCCTGCTGCTGGTGGCTCAAGCCTGTAATCCCAGCTACTCAGGAGGCTGAGATCAGAAGGTTGCAGTTCAAAGTTAGCCAGGGCAGGAAAGTCTGTGAGATTCTTATCTGCCAATTAACCACCAGAAAACTAGCAGTAGCCCTGTGGCTCAAAGTGGGAGAGTATTTTCATTCAGCTGAAGAGCTCAGGGACAGCAAAGTAACTAGGCCAAGAATTCAGGCCCCACAACTGATCCCCCCCCCCCCCCCAAAGAAAAAAAAAAGTTTCACAGACTTTCCCACCCAGGCTGGCTTCAAACTGTGATCTTCAGATCTCAACTTCCTGAGTTGCTAGGATTATAGGCATGAGCCACCAGAACCCAGCCTTAACCCTAAGCTTTTTTTTTTTTTTTTTTAATTATATCCATGAAGTATCTGGAAAAGTGAAAATTGCAATCTAATCAACATACACATTTAGGTAAAATCAGAGATTAACACTTTACACATTTGTCATTTTCTAGTCAGACTATCTCCCATTTATGTCATTAAATACAAACATATTTAGATTGGTATGTGTGTGTGTTGTGTTAGTACTGGGGCTGAAACTCAGGGCCTAGGGCTCTATCGGCTTGCTCACAACTGATACTCTACCACTGAGTCATCCCTCCATCATTTTGCTGGTTAATTGAAATGAAGTATCCCATATTTTTCTGTGTAGGATGGCTTTAAACCTTGAGCCTCTGATCCATCCTGCTCAGTAGCTAGGATTACAGGCATGAGCCACTAACGTCAGCTGTTTGTTTGTTTGTTTTAGTGTACTAGGAGTTGAACTCCAGTCCTTAATTTGCCAGAAAATGAATCTACGTTTAGAGCCACATATTCAGCCCTTTAGTTCTTTTTCAGGATAAGTCTCACTTTTTTGACTCTGCCTAGACGGAGATGGGATCTTGTTACCACTCTTCTTCCCCCACCCATCTTCTTGATGGCTTCAAACCTTGATCTTCCCACTCTTTCCCCACATGAGCATCTGGCATTACAAGGCATGAACCATGGTGTCTGACCCATTTAATTGTCTTTTGCTTATTCTCTATGGACATACATTCTTTCCTGTTATATTCAGTTGAGTTACATAATTTAAGAATTTGTTGCCAAATAAGTAACTTCCTGTTTAACTTTAAACATATTAAAGTCACAAAATATTTTAAGATAGTCCAAAATAAACATACAAAAAAAGAACTTCCAAAATCATTTTTACATTTATTTCTGCTATTCCTCCCACAAAAGAACTTCTTTTTGGCTAAAACTATATGCACTCTATATAAAATGCTGTACTTAATATAATTTCATAATTACTGAAATTCCTATTCTTACACCATGTACTTAATCAAAATTAAGTCATGAAAAGAAAATAAGCCAGGGAATACATTTTATTTCACACTGGAAAATATTTACAAGATTTTCTTTTAAATAGCATCTCCTCCTGCATGGTATTAGCTGGATACAAATAAGCTTAGACTCCTGCCTATCCTGAGTTTCTCTAATCCAGATAGGCACTAACGCAATTCATTTGCATTGACTTTCTAGTGTAGAGCTTTGGAACCAAGGGAAGGATCCAAACATAGCTCCATTTTATCCAATCAGAAGGACAGCTTAGTGCTAAACTCTGATTTGTCCATTCCTCTTTGCATCTGTCCAATCACAAAGCAACTTTAACAGCCAATCAGCGACCTAAGTTTTCACCAATCAGGGAACAGGGCCGAAGCACGGCCTTTGTGTCGGGAGATGTCAGAGCGTCCGCGAAGGCGCCCGCCAATAGAAAAAGTCGTTGGTGTATGCAAATAAGGGTTCTATGACGTAGAGACGCAGCGTGAAGCGTGAGTATAAATGAGGAGGCGCCGGGGGCTTTGGAGCGCAGAGCGGTTTGGTCGTTCGTTGGGGTGGTATCGTCCCTCAGCTCGCCAACTGCAGCTCTTCACTGGGCAACAGCGGCGGCGCGGTGGTCCGAAAAACGGCCTGAAACTCCGGCTTTGGGTAAGTTCGCATTCGTGGGTCCGGGTTTCTTCGTGATTTGAGGCTCCGGCCACCGTCGATTTTACAGGCCGCGGCCGTTGAGGCGGACTGTCGGGTGGTGGGGTGCCGCTTTCCCGGCGGCTGACAGGGGAGGGGAGGTCAGAAGCTCTCCCCGCTGGGTTTCTTTCCGGCCTCGATGACTTCTTTTTTCCCGGTGATTCAGAGGTCCGGACGCCGGGTTCCGGGCAGCCGGGCCTCCGCCCGTCGAGGGAGGGAAGTGGCTCCTCCCCGCCTCCCCCCCCCCCCCGCGCCCGGGGGAGGCGGCTGCTCCGCGAGCCTGAGTCATTAGGGGAGGGGGAGGAGGCGGACGGCCGTGCCCTGGGCCGGCGGCGGCGGCGGGCCGAGGCGGGAGGGCGGGCTTGGCGGGCCCGGGCGCGGGGCCCTCCCCGCCCCACCCCCACCCCCACCCCCGGACGCGAGCGGAGCACGGGGGCCGAGCCAAGCGTCCTCGGGCCTCAGTCTTGACTTCCCGCGTTGTCTTTCTCGAAGGTGAGAGAAAATGGCCCGAACCAAGCAGACTGCTCGTAAATCCACTGGTGGGAAGGCCCCCCGCAAGCAGCTGGCCACCAAGGCTGCCAGGAAAAGCGCGCCCTCTACCGGCGGGGTGAAGAAGCCCCATCGCTACAGGTAGGCACGGCTGCGGGGAACAATGGCCTGGCGGCGGGCCGCCTGTGTCCCTGCGCCTGCCCCTCCCGGGGGCACTTTTTTTGTTTCTTTTTTCTTTTCCCTTTTTTTTTTTTTTTTAAACGCCGCTCTCTGTTCTTTCCAGGCCTGGCACTGTGGCTCTTCGAGAGATTCGTCGTTATCAGAAATCCACTGAGCTTCTCATCCGAAAGCTGCCTTTCCAGAGGTTGGTGAGAGAGATTGCCCAGGATTTTAAAACGGACCTGAGGTTTCAGAGTGCGGCCATCGGTGCGCTTCAGGTAAACAGGAACAAAGGGGTTTTGGAGCCCCAGGGCCAGGGCTGGTTTGGTTTCTCATGGACCAGAGTTAATGGTGTGGCTCTTGTCCTCCACAGGAGGCTAGTGAAGCGTACCTGGTGGGTTTGTTTGAAGATACCAATCTGTGTGCCATCCACGCCAAGAGAGTCACCATCATGCCCAAAGACATCCAATTGGCTCGCCGGATACGGGGAGAGAGAGCTTAAGTGAAGGCAGTTTTTATGGCGTTTTGTAGTAAATTCTGTAAAATACTTTGGTTTAATTTGTGACTTTTTTTGTAAGAAATTGTTTATAATATGTTGCATTTGTACTTAAGTCATTCCATCTTTCACTCAGGATGAATGGGAAAGTGACTGTTCACAGATCTCAGTGGTGCGCACTGGGCTCAGGAGTGACAAGTTGCTAATATGCAGAAGGGATGGGTGATACTTCTTGCTTCTCATGATGCATGTTTCTGTATGTTAATGACTTGTTGGGTAGCTATTAAGGTACTAGAATTGATAAATGTGTACAGGGTCCTTTTGCAATAAAACTGGTTATGACTTGATCCAAGTGTTTAACAATTGGGGCTGTTAAGTCTGACCATACATCACTGTGATAGAATGTGGGCTTTTTCAAGGGTGAAGATACAAGTCTTAACCACAGTGTAACTTACAGTTTCCTTAAGAAAAAAAAAAAAGTAAACCTGGCAGCTATAGAATACACTATGTGCATTTATAATAGCTATTTTATATATTGTAGTGTCAACATTTTTAAATTAAATGTTTTACATCCACAAGTGGTGGGGAGTCTTGTCATTAAGGTGTGTATAATTTAAGAGTCCAGTTGGTTTTCTCCTAACTAGACTGCACTTGTTTTCATAGTTTAATGCTGTATGCATATTAATACCTTGCATAAGTCCTCATTCTACCACATGTTAACTAACCCTCTAGCTGGTAATGCAAACACTAACGGAGATTTTATTTATAAGGGCTCTAGAATAAAAGTTATTCGCACCAGCATCTGTTATAATCTAAGCTAGTTAGTGCAGCTTTTCCTTGTGTTGTGGTTGATTTCAAAGCTAGGCTTGAGGATTTTTTTTTCTCCTTTAGAGGAAATAATACCAAGGTTTGTTCTTTTCCTTGTGGAGTTTAGTGTAAACCTGAATGGGGGAGGAGCATTGCAGATGCAGCTGATTAGCCCGGTGCTGATTCGAGGTGTTTGGTTAGGTTACTTCTGGTGACTGTCCTAGGAAAACCCCTTTTCTAGAGATGGCCTTTCAAATTCATCCTATTGAAGTTTTTAGGTCAATTATGTATGTTGACTAAATTTACAAATAAACTTGTTTATCCAACTAAGTGTCAAAAAACTAAATTGACTGTATAAAGCTTTTAATACACCCATTGCCCTAGGTTCATTTATCCTGGTGTTTGAGCTTAGATGATTTCAGCTTTTTTGCTTGGTAGATGAACCATTTATACGCAGAGATAATTTTAGCATGTTGAACAGCCCTTCGCTCATAAATGCCATGATAGGGGCTGAGATGTATCTCTGTGGTGTGAGCACTTAACTAGCATGAAGCCCTTGGGTTTGATCCCCCAGTGCTGCCCAAAAGCCATGATGCTGCTGTATTTGTAGTCTGTGTGGCATGCTCCCTGCCCTCGCCCCTTTAGTGTCAAGAACAAAAAGTAGCTAAATTTTATTACAAGAAAAAGACTTGTCAGGGCCAGTTTCAAATGTGTTTGTGGATCCTTGAGGTAGGCTAGGGTTCTGTGTGCAAAGTAACCTAGGCTGGCAGGGAGTTTGTGGTCTCCAAGCTACTTTCAGTACAAAACCAGTTTTAAGCAAGGAGAACACAAGCTTACTACATGGGCCATGATGCATGGTAGCGTATGTCAGCATTTGGGCAGTTAAATTGGGGGGGGGGGGTTCTTGTCCATAGCTGGAGCCACACAAAAGTGTAGTATGTGAACAACAGTCAAGACAATAGGACAGCCAGCTGCTGTTTCAGAAACACTTGGCAGCATGGTGTTTTTTTGCTGGCCAATTGGAAATAGGAGTCACTTGAACTATTCTGCCTGGGCTGGCCTCAAACTCTAGGTTTTAGTGTTCTGACTAGTTGGGATTAAAGGGAAGAGCCAGTGGCACCTGACTTAAGGCATTTATTTAAATGAGATTTGGTCAGTTTCAAATTCAAAAGTACTTAAGATAGGCTGGATAGAAGAGTAGGTTTAAAAAAATTGAATCCAATACAGCGAACACTTGTGACAATTTCCTCATGCTTCTGAGTGACACTGAAATCCTAGATGTTGGAATGGCCTGTGCTCTGAAGAGGCAGTGTGAACAGATGAGGACCATGGGAATTTGCTGATTTAACTGGTAACCCAAGTGGGTGACACCGTTGATCCTTAGCCCCAGTCTACAGCCTGAAGTTAGAAGGCTCTAGGGTAGCTTGGAAGCTACTACATAAAAGAATAGTGTAACTTTGGCTCTTCCACACTCCCATGAGGTCACTTAACCCAGAACACAAATATTTTTTTGGTTCTAGGAGACTGCCCCTCCAGGATATCCCTGAGTAAGGGCAATGGACTGGAATCTGTAAGGAAGAAAGCAAAAGTTGGAGCTGTTGAAGGTATCCTGTGCCCATGATGGATGAGATAAAAATAAAGTTTTGGAATGCAGATTTTTTCATCTTGTTAATGGTTTTCATTCAAATGAGTTGTCTCACAAACTTGAAGCATTTGGAGAGCCCAGCCTGAGTCAGGGTGTTGGATGGAGGAAGCACATTGATCAGTTAGGTGGGGTAGATGACTGTTCTTACATGGCCCTTGTCACTGAGGACACTGCTAGTTTATTTCCATGGAATTGTTGTATGTTTATGTCTAACTGCCTGGTTTGGCAAATTATATGGTTATCCAACTTACTGCATGTCCATGTGCAGTGGGAATCCACTGATTTTTTTGGTGGGTGGGAGAGTCCTGGGGCTTGAACTTGGCCTGGGGAGCTGTCCTTGAACTTGTTCTGTCCAAGGCTAGTGCTCTACCACTTGAGCAACACTGCTACTTCAACATTTTTTTTTTCCTAGTTCATTAGAGTCTCAGGGACTTTCCTACCTACGGGGGCCTGCTTTGCACCATGATCCTCAGATCTTAGTCTCTTGATTGGATTACAAGTGTTAGCCACCAACACTCAGCCCAGAATTTTTTTTCCCCCTGTAGTCCTGGGGCTTGAACTCAGGGTCTGGGCACTGCACTGTCTCTTGAGCTTTTTTTGCATTGTCTCAAGCTTTTTTGCTCAAGGTTAGTACTTTACCACTTGAGCCACAGCTCTACTTTCAGTGGTTAGTTGGAGATAAGGAGGAGCTTCATGGACTTGCTGCCCAGGCTGGCTTCACAACAAAATCCTCAGATTTCAGCCTGTAGGATTACAGGCATGAACCACTGGTGCCCAGCACCAATTTTGTGTATGTGTGTGTGTTTTGGAGGGGCTTGAATTTGGCCTAGGTGCTGTCCTTGGGCTGCTTTTTTGCTCAGAGTTAATACTTGAGCCACATTGCCACTTCTGGCTCTTTCTGTCCAGGCTTGGCTTCAAACCCTAGTCCTCAGAGATCTCAGCCTCTTGAGTAGCTATGATTACAGGCATGAGCCACCAACACTCAGCTTCATTAGGACCTCTTGATAACTTAGCCTCCCTGGCTCCTGGCTCACAGTGTATGGCTTAGGAGCCAGAGAAAGAGGCCAGCAAACAAACACCCCATGGCTGGGCACCGGTGCTACCTATAAGCTACTCAGAATGCTAAGATCTGGAGAATCAGAAGTTGAAGTCAGTCTAGACAGATAAGTCCACCAAAACTCTACCTCCAAAGTAACCAGAAAAGGCCAGGTTAGGGGCATGGCTCAAGTAGTAGTGCATCAGTCAAGCACAAAGCCCTAAGTTCAAATCCTGGTACCTGTTAGGAAAAAAAATTACCCTCTTGACCTTAGCCTTATGTCCCTCAGACCTTCCTCTTCGCAACCAGGGACCCCACTGCCACCTAGCCCCCAAAGCCTCAGGGTACAGGGAAAACAACTTTATATTGGTAGACTGAAAATGCACATCCACTTAGTCTCATCCATGTACTGAATCATTCCCCAACAAGGAAAGTTGGAGGGGGCTGTGCCTGCCCAGCCTGTCCAGCTCGCTAGCTCCTGCAAGCGCTGCCTTCTGCCTGGCATCCCAGCTGGGTCGGTGAGCAGCTGACAAGCCAGTCTTTTCTTCTGTACTACAGTTAGAGCTGGAGCTGTGGAGGGAGGAACTAGCAACACAGTTGCCTGCTTTTGGACCAGCAAGAAACCTAGAGGCTGATCCTTAAGTTTCAGCAAGATCCCAGGGGGACTGATTGTACCCCTTTTTCTGAAGGTATTGCCTTCCTGGGGGAGTTATGGTCCCCTGGGCCTGAGAACTGTGGACTGTTAATTGGATATTCTGTAGGAGAGAGAGCGAGCCCAACGTGCGGCTTTTTCTATTTATGTGGTACTGAGGAACCCAGGGGCAAGCACTATACCACTATACCACATTCCTGGCCCTAGGGTGGGAGCATTTCACAGTCACCTCACCCATCCACTTTCCTGGGGTGTGGGAGTCACTCGGCAACACCTCGCTTAGACTGTTGGCTCTTCCTGCCTTCCCCATTGTGGGCACCAGTCAAGGAGCTGTGCTCATCTCAAGGACGTCAGCTTGGATCACCATCCAGCTGGCTTGTCTGGTCAGCATTTTCAGCTGGTTATGGGCAAGAATACATGAAGAGAGAGCCAGACTGTGTTCGTGTTGCCACCCAAATCCCACAGCTCCTCCAGAGAAAAGGGTTGAGCCTGGTGGCCGCTATCTAGTATGTTTTGATGCTGGTCCTGGGGCTTGAACTCTGGGCCTGAGCACTGTCCCTGAGCTTTTTTTTTGCTCAAGGCTAGTGCTCTGCTACTTGAGCCACAGTGCCATCTCTGACTTTTTTGTGTGGTTAATTGGATGTAGGAATCTCACAGACTTTGGTGCTTTGGCTGGCTTCAAACCACAGTCTCAGATCTCAACCTTCTGAGTAGCTAGTATTACATGGGTGAGCCATCAGTGTCCAGCTTCTTCTGGCATTCTTACTCCATCAGCAGGTGTAAGACCAAAGGAGATGCAGCTGGAATGGCTTTGAGTTTATATACTGAAGGGCTGTGTTGTAAGGAGGAGAGGCCAGAAGAGACTCTTGCTCTCTGCAGTGCTGCAGATGGCTCAGCAGCCAGTGGAAGCAATCATTCAGATACCACTGCTCAAAGAAAAGAAAAGAAAAAAGAAAGCCGGGCACCAGTGGCTCACATCTGTCATCCTAGTTACTCAGGAGGCTGAGATCGGAGGATCACAGTTGAAAGCCAGCCCAGGCAGGAAAGTTCATGGGACTCTTATCTCCAATGAACCACCAGAAAACCAGAAGCGGCGCTGTGGCTCAAGTGGTAGAGCACTTGCCTTGAGCTGAAGAGCTGAGGGACAGTGTCCAGGCCCCAGAGTTCAAGCACTACAACCAACCAAAAATAAAACAAAAAAAAATCATTTTTTTTTCCTGTTACTAAGGCTTATACTCAGGTCTCTTGTTCTCCCTTAGCTTTCTTGCTCATGGTTGGCACTATACCACTTGAGCTTCAGCTTGGCCTTTTGCTGGTTAATGGAGGATGGAATTTCTTGGACTTTTCTGCCTACTCTAGCTTTGAACTGTGATCCCTTAGGTCTCAAGCCTCCTGAGTAGCTAGGATTACAGCCGTGAGCCACTGGGCCCCCCTGGAGCGGTACCTCTTAGCTGTCTGCCTTGCATAAAGCTCCAACCCCCAGTGCTATTACTTTTTCCTATGAAGGAAGCTAAAAGGCTCTGCAGCTACTAGCTATTGGGAAACAAGGACAGACCATAGCTCCTGGAGGGACTAGAAGGCCACATGATCTAGAAAGGGGTTCAGTGGAGAGAATGGGAGATTAGGTCCTGGAAGCTACTAGTTCTCAAGCAAGACACTGAAGGTCAAGGAATACATACAGTGGGAGTGGAGGGTGAGCATAAGAGAAATGTCCATCTCAGACATCACCAGGATCAATGACAAGAGGGCCTTGGGAAACAGGCACCTGTGGCTCATGCCTATAATCCTTTTTCTTTCTTTCTTTCTTTCTTTTTTTTGGCTATTCCTGGGGCTTGAACTCAGGGCCTGGGCACTGTCCCTGATCATCTTTTGCTCAAGGCTAGCACCCTACCACTTGAGCCACAGCGCCACTTCTTGCCTTTTCTACGTATGTGGTACTAAGGAATTGAACCCAGGACTTCATGCATGCCAGGCAAGCACTCTGCCACTAAGCCACATTCCCAGCCCCTCATGCCTATAATCTTAGCTACTCAATTAACTGAGATCTGAGGATCACAGTTTAAAGTCAGCCTGGAGAGGAAAATCTGTGAGACTCATCTCCATTTAACTAGCAAAAGGCCAGAAGCAGAGCTGTGAGGCTTAAATGGTAGAGTACCAGCCTTGAGCAAACAAACTAAAAGACAGCCCCCAGACCCTAAGTTCAAGCCTCAGGACTGGCACAAAAGATAGGCTCTGGGAAGGAGAAAGAAGTGAGCTAAATGGGCTTCAGGCTTAGGACCAGACAGGGGGCATTTCTCTGAGTGGTGGGACTTTTCATGTTCCCAAGCAGGTGTGCCATGGACTCCATTCACCCCTACTTCCTTCCCACCTGTTTTTGTGGCTTTATTTATTTAAGCTCCTTACCACCCAACAGCGCAGAGCCATTAAGCAGTGGGGGCAGGGCAGGCGGGGCTCAAGGTCCAGGCATCACGGGCCCGTTTCCTGCTGCAGCCCAGAGTGTGTGCCCTCCCCGGCTCCTCACCTGTAATTAGCCTCAGTCCTCTAGTGGCCTGAAGCCTGGACAGCCGCAGGGCCAGCTGCAACTTCCTGGACAGGGGGAGTGCAAGAAGAGACGGCCACAGCCTTGAGCTGTGTCTTGGAAGTCTGACCTTAATCCCTGGTCTTCCGTGTAGAGGGTAGGAACTTCAGGGACAGATTGGGGCCACACACACAGACACAGAGACACAGACACAGACACACACACACACACACACACACACACACACACAAAGACACAGCCTGCAGCAGCCTGCAAGCTGATTTCTCTGCTCAGAGGGCATCTGAGGCCAAGGAGAAGGCTGGCACTTCAAAGGCAGGGACTCTTGTCTGCCCCTAGAGTCGTGTCTGGCACATAGCAGAGGCTCAGACATGTTTGCTGACCAAGCCAAATAGCCCTCTGGCAGCCCACAGCACAACTGGCTAGCTTTGCTTCTGGCACAGGCAGCAAATAATGAGTTTGATTCCCCAGGGCTCTGGTTACTGGCTGGCTTTGTAACAGGGAGTGTCTCTCTGTGTAGGAAGTGGGACTCCAGTGATTTGGGAGAGGAGCCCTCTCTCCCCTGAGAAGAGGCTGAGCTGAGCTTTTGGATCTTCGCATTTTTGTTGTTGTTGTTGTTTGTTTTTTGTTTGGGTCCAGTTGTAGGCTTGAACTCTGGGGCTGGGAGCTGTCCCTCAGCTCTTCAGCTCAAGGCTAGTGCTCTACCACTTGAGCCACAGCGCCACTTCTGCCTTTTTTTTTCTGCTTATGTGGTGCTGAGAAATTGAACCCAGGGCCTCATGCATGCAAGA